GTTGGCTGGGGTTGTGGCTCAGTAGTAGAGTGCCCATCTAACATGCATGAGGCACTGGGTTTGATCCTCAGCACCACATAAAAATAAAATAAAATGCTGGGCGTGGTGGCATATGCCTGTAATCCCAGTGGATCCTGAGGCTGAGTCAGGAGGATTTTTTCAAGTTCAAAGCAAGTCTCAGAAAAGGCAGGTGCTGGGGCTGGAGATGTGGCTCAAGTGGTAGCGTGCTCACCTGGCATGTGTGAGGCACTGGGTTTGATCCTCAGCACCACATAAAAATAAAGATATTGTGTCCACCTAAAAAACTAAACAAATAAAAGAAAAGGCAGGCGCTAAGCAACTCAGTGAGACCCTATCTCTAAATAAAGTACAAAATAGGGCTAGGGATTGGCTCAGTAGTCGAGTGCCCCTGAGTTCATTCCCAGTACAAAAATATATATATATATATGTCCCCCTAAACCTAAAAAAATACTAAAAAAAAAAAAAAAAAAACGGGGCTGGGGATGTGGCTCAAGTGGTAGCGCGCTCGCCTGGCATGCGTGCGGCCCGGGTTCGATCCTCAGCACCACATACAAACAAAGATGTTGTGTCCACTGGAAAAAAATATAAATATTAAAATTCCCTCTAAAAAAAAAATTTATGTGTAATAGTGGGCTGAGTAAGTAGCTCTGAGGTAGAGTACTTAGCATGTGTGGGGCCCTGGGATCTATCCCTATCACTGAAAAGAATACCTACCAGATTATAAGAAAAACTTTATTTGTACTATAGAGGATACATGTATATCATGAACATAGTATGTAAAAAAGCTTAAGCTAGGTGCATACTTATAATTGCCTCAGGAGGCTGAGGCAGGATTGCAAATTCAAGGTCAGCCTGGGTAACTTAACAAGACCTTTCTAAAAATAAAATTTTGTTTAAAAGGAACTGACTGGTGAGGGCTGGGGTTGTGGCTCAACGGTAGAATACGTGACTAGCACATGCAGGAGCCCTGGATTCGATACTCAGCACCATAGATAGATTAGATAGATACATAGATAGATAGATAGATAGAGGTATTGTGTCCAACTACAATTAAAAAATATTTGAAATAAAGGAGCTGGGGATGTAGCTTAGTATATATATAGAATACCTGCCTAACCTGTGCAGGGCCCTGGGTTCAATCCCCAACACTGCAAATAAACAAAACAAGCTTAAGAGATACTGCTTTAGACATTATGCTTATATCTTTTCAAATATAGATAATTTTATTACATTCAAATGTATACATCTAATTGAGTTGCCATTTAGGAGGCCATATGTGTATTTAAAAAATGTTGCCCTTTGGGGCTGGGGATATAGCTTAGTTGGTAGAGTGCTTACCTCTAAGGCATAAAGCCCTGGGTTCAATCCCTAGCACCATACACACATACAAAAAAAAAAAAAAAAGAAAGTAAAAAGTTGCCTAAGTAAGTTTTATTTTATTTTTTTTTTTAAATAAGGTTTTTCCTTTTGTTTTTTTAAAGAGAGAAAGTATGTATTTTTTAGTTTTCAGCGGACACAACGTCTTTGTTTGTATGTGGTGCTGAGGATCGAACCCGGGCCACACGCATGCCAGGCGAGCGTGCTACCACTTGAGCCACATCCCCAGCCCCCTAAGTAAGTTTTATGTCAGTATTTATTGACTTCCAACAATATTAAAAAGGAGTAATAATGAAATTTGATAAATACAAATATAAAATTATACTTTGATCCAAAAAATAGCATATGTGGGCGGAACACTGATCCAAAGATGGGATTATAAGGGATCGTGGCTGCCAAAAATGCTTATGCAATTTCTTGTTACACAATTTAAGCGCTGTGTCCAAAATAAGAAAGGTAATTTTCCAGTTGTTTTATTGGTGCATTATAATTATACCAGACAGTGAGATTCATTATGCAGTGTTCATACATGCACATAACAATTTGATCAGTCTCATTCCCCAGTATCTTCCCTTTCTCTCTCTTCCCTCCCTTGATCCACTTGCTGTATTCTACTGACCTCCCTTCCATTATTATTATTTTAATTAATGCATTGTGATTGTGTATATATTACATGTCTAAATAAGGATTCATTGTGGTATATTTGTACATCAATATAACATAATTTGATAGATTGTGTTCCCCAGTACTTCTTCATCCTCTTCCCCCATCTCCTTCACCTAACTGTTCAGTTTTAATCCACAAGGTGCTAAGAATCCTCCTCTGTCATCTTGTAAGATTCTCAGCAGCCACAGAAGCTTACAAAAGAAGTACTGATTGGTACTCTTGTGCTGTAATTCATGACACCATCATCTCTGCTTCTGCTGATGCATTCTAGTATGTAAAAACACGAGCTCTTGAGTTTACCCAACTATATGTTGAGCCTTGTTTCCCAGTTCTTGAGTTTACCTACTTGTAGGTTGAGCCTGTGTTCCCACACCCTACTGTGTAACCTCCATTCCTCAATTTCCTTTTTTATAAAGTGGAAACAGTGGAAAGCCCTCCTCATAGGGTTGGTTCAAGAGTTAAGCAAGTTAATCCATGTTGAATTACTCTTATAAGTCTTACCTTGAATTAGTATCACTAGTCCTAATCGCTCTTTGCACTAAATACTATATAGTTTTGCTTTATACAAGCAAAGAATATCTTTTGAAAGATATTCTTTGAAGTATCTTCAGCATCAAAACTTTCTGTTTTCCCATTGGCATGTAAATTTGCTGTCTCGTCTTTTTAAAAACCAAATAAATAATTTTATTTGATCATATATCCCCTTCCAAACTATTTCCACTGCTCTTCTATTTTCTCTTGGACTCATTCCAGTCAGGCTTTCATCTCACCATTCTACTGAAATAACTTGTCAAAAGCACCAAGGAATGGCTTCTTCAATGCCAAATCCAGTGGCCTTTTAAACTTCATCTTACGCGGCTTTTCAGCAATACATGACACACTTGATCACTCCCTTCTTGATACTTTTCTGGTTTTTCAGCATACCATATGTGGCTACTCTTTTTTACTCTCATCTTGACCTCCTAACATTGAAGATCCTTTGAGATCAATCATAAGATCTCTCTGGTTCAGTATATCTCTAGCCATTAATTTCTCCCTTAACTCTGGATTTCTGATATCCCACTGCCTATGTCAGCTTGAGCCAACTGTCTTAATCTCAAATACAAGGAGTCTGAAGCAAAAAATCTGATCCCACCCCCTTCTTCATTCTAATTACTTAGGCCAAAATACCTTGGAGTTTTGGAACTTGTCCTGGATCCAATCCATTATCAAATTCTGTAACCCCAACCTTTGAAATATATCTACTGCTCAACACAACTATTGCTATAACCCTAGTCCAGAGCATTTGTTGCCCAGATTATTGCAACAACAACTCAGCAAGTCTCCTTGATTCTATCCTTGCTTTTCCATTTAATGCCTCACTTACTAATCAGAATTACCCTTTTAAACAAAAGTCAGATCTGTTACCCTCTGCTCAAAACCCTCATGGACTTCCTATCCTTATTCTTAAATTGCTTGTAAGGGTCTATGTGCTCTTGACCTCAGCTATTGGCTGACCTGCCAATTTCCCCCTTTCTCTGTCTCAAACAGGACTCTGGCCAGGCTTGGTGGTGCACACCTATTATTCCAAAGGCTTGGGACAGCCTTTGGAAGACGGGAGGATCGTGAGTTTAAAGCTAGCCTCAGCAAAATGTGAGGCTTGCTAAGCAATTCAGTGAGACCCTGTCTCTAAATAAAATACAAAATAGGGCTGGGGACATGGATCAGTCATTGTATCCCTAAGTTAAATCCCCATTACCCCAAAACAAAAAACAAACAAAACATGACTCTGCAGGCTCCTGCCTCCAGGGTTTACACTGGTCATCCATCCTGCCTGGATGGCACTTCACATAGCTATTGTTTCACTTCTCATTCTCACTTTATCAAGTCTTCTTTACTCAAGTGTGGTCTTATGGGAAAGGTTTGTATTTATTTATTCATTCATGTTTTTTGGTGCTGGGGATTGAACCCATGGGTGCTTAGCCACTGAGCCACATCCCCAGCCTCTTTTTTTTTAATTTTGAGACAAGTTCTTGCTAAGTTACATAGGGCCTTGCTAAATTGCTGATGCTGCCTTTGAATTTATGATCTTACTGGGATCATAAATAAAGCTGTGCCTGGCTTTGGAAAAGTTTTTTTTTTTTTTGATTGTCCTATATAAAATAAAACTCCCTTTATCCCTCTATCCCATCCCTATGCCCTCTTTTACTTCTGAGCATTTTTCACCACCTGATACATTTGTTAAATACCTTTCTTCACAAGAATGCAATTCCAGAGGACAAGCACTTAATTCACTGCTTAGTCCCTAGTGCCTAAAAGAGTGATGAGCCTGTTGGTTGAACAAATCAAAATAGATAACTTACCCTAAGGCATTTGTTTATAGCCTGTTTTTCCTTGATTTCTTTTTTTCAGTTGTGTTTGGTACCCGGGATTGAAATCAGGGCACTTAACCACTGAAACACATCCCCAGTGCTTTTTTTTTTTTTTTAATTTTTAATTTTGAAACAGTCCAAGTTAATTAGGGCCTCGATAAGTTGCTGAGGCTGCTTTGAACTTGTGGTCCTCCTGCCTCACCTTCCCAAGCCACTGGGATTTCAGGCATATGCTACCATTCTTGATTTGTTGGTTTTCGAGATAGGCTTGCCCAAGCTGGCCTTGAAATTTCAATTATCCTGCGTCAGCCTTCCAAGTTACCTGGGATCACAGGCGTATGCCCAATAATTCTACTTGATATCTACCCCCACTCTTTTGGCTCTTTTCAATGTCTTTGAAATTTCCTGAGAGGATCAGAATAGGTTGTTCCACGGCCTTTCAGTGTGAAGCATCCCTGCTGTAATTTCTTGTTGAACCCTCTCACATCCCATCTTCCAGTAGATTTCATGTTGGCCTGGATGTCTCTAATATTATCTTCACTGGTACCAGTAAGTATGTTTTGTTAAAAAAAAAAAAAAAGTCTCTTTTGTAAAAATGAATTTTATTGATTTAATTTAGAACGTTCAGAAATTTACACAAAATTGCAGTGATGAGGAAAGCAATGGAAAACAATTTCACACTAAAACACCTAGCCATCTGGCATTGTGGATATTGTTGAGGAGCAGACATCCAGTGGTAGTCTGCATCTGGTGAAGGAATTTCTCCTGATCGTCCCCATGACATCATTTCCTTACCAGGTCAGCCCTTATTTCCTGTTTTCAGGCCACCTGCTTTTGCATCATTTCTCTTTATTTTTCTTGCAGTGCACCACAAGAGGGCAGCCTTTTATCATATTTGACTTTGAGTTGTGCCAACAATAGGAAGAGATGCATTTCAATAATTTAAATGGGAAATGTATTATACCTAAATCGGGGGCTGGGAACATAGTTTGGTAGAACACTTGCTGCTTAACATGCATATGGCCCTGGGTTCGATCCCCAACATCAAAAAATAAATAAATTCTACACCAAAATTATTCATCAAAGTTAATAACTCTAGGCCTACAACTCTAGCCCAAAAGTCATGGATAAAAACATCTTTAGTAGGTGTGGGGGTACATTTTCTTGTAATCCCAGCTACTGAGGAAGCTGAAGCAGGATAATTGCAAGTTCAAGGCCAACCTCAGCAATTTGTCTCTAAAAAAAAAAAAAAAAAAAGGACTGGGTAGGACTCCGGTTACAGTTCAGTGGTGGAGCATTTACTTAGCATGTGTGAGGCACTGGGTCTGATCCTCAGCATCACATAAAAATAAATAAAATAAAGGTATTGTGTCAATCTACAACTAAAAAGAAAATTTAAAAAAAAGAAGGGGTGGCCGGGATGTAGCTCAGTGGTAAGCATCCCTGGGTTCAATCCCCAGTGCCAAGACAAAACAAAACAAAACAAAAAATATCCTTCAAAAGAAAGTCATAATTTTAGCAATGACACAGAAAATAACCTTTTGGAAGTCTAAAAGATCAGAAATAAAATTTTGGTCTTTTTTTGTTTCGTTTTCGTTTTTGTTTTTGTGGAAGGCTACTGTTAACTATTGAAAGTACTATTTCCTTTTTTAAATTCACTCAGAGTAGGTGTAGGTTGTGAAAATGCTGATTTCTGCAAACACTGAATTAGAAGATTGATGTAAAGAAGAGACTTTTATTAACTACTCATTTCAACGAATCTGTGTACTATATATAAACAGAAGCTGAAGGAAGAGTAATACATGAGGTGCATTAGTCACTGTGAAGTAACTGAAACCAATATGTATCATAAACAAGCTAATGCTAACTAGTAAGCAAGTTCAGTTCCTTAGGCTACAGGGATTCAGTCACTTGTTTCTCTAAGCAATTCCCTTCTGCCATAAACCACAGAGAGGTAATTAAAAGAAAGTTATCTTTAGAGAATTGGATGTTATCTAGCCATTTAGCCCTTTAAAAGGGAATTAAATTGTGTATATGACCTTAAAGAATATTTTCTAGTATCTACCATCTATCTATACTTTTCTCTCTACATTCCAAGTGGCTTCTGGCACCTAATCATATTTTGGTTATATGTCATGATAGCAACCATTAAGAATCAGTTGCATATAATAGAAAAATGATCCAAAAATATATAAATGCAGTCTATTTCTTCTCCTTTTCATTCTTTGTGAGGAAAAAAAAGAGAAAAATCTAAATCTTAAAAACTAAAGCAATCCATGAAACTAAAAGAAAAAAAATCCTAGAAATCAAGTCTTATTGAATCTTATTTTCTGGCTTTGATCTGGTTGTCAGTTGGAATGGACTTGCCCAGGTGATGGCCCACAGAAAGGCCAAATTTCTTGTTTTTCTGCTCATCTTGAACCTCTTTTTTCAATAAAAATCCTGTCTGGAAGTCCAGGTCAAAGAGGCTGCTTGGAGCAAAATACAGTGGTGTTTCATCCCAAATGTTCTCCAGGCGTTTCTTCCATCCTTCCAGGACCTGAGTTCGGGCATCTTGTGGAAGGTGCCCAATGCTATATGTCAGTTGTGGTTCTAAGACTTGGAAGCCACAAAAATGCAGAGTACCACTCTGGGGAAACATGAAACACAGAGGTAAGTAACAGACCAATTCTATGCAGTTTGTACAGTAAAAACAAAAAACAAAAACACCAAACTTTGGTCTGGGCTTCCCAGTGAGACTTCAGTAAGGAGGTCAGAGGTGCCCTGGAGAATTATAATTATATTCTCACCTTCTTCCCTCCCTACCTAGGTGTTACCTATCTGAGCCTAAACACCTATGCTCTTTAAAAGAATAAAACCTTGAAAGTGTGCCAACCTGGATCCTCTGCCAAAAGTGCCGGAAATTCTATTACATTAGAGAGAGTTTCAGCTTCTTGGCTGCTGACTCTTGCTGATGTGCATTTCTCCACCTCTCCACAAACAAGATGGGTAGTAATAAATTATTTTCCAGGTGGTCACTTCACTTGCTCTCCTCTCCACCCCTTTTCTTGGAATAGATTACCTTGAGAATCCAGTGATACCAAAAAGCCACCTCAGGCTTCAGTTTTATTTATCTCTAAAACAGGCTAGACTGAATCATTTCTTAAATTGTCCTAGGCTCTCTTAGTTTGTGAGACTGTAGAAGAAACTTGGAGAAGGCCAGGAAGATTAGAGAGAGATGTGAGTCATCCAGAGAGAACCAGGATTCTGGGCTCAGCCCATGTGCACTAGTTCTTGGTTAGGAGAGAATGATGTTTGATCATGTGTGTACAAGCTATAAACGCAGGTGCCTGGAAAGTCAGGTAAGTTCCTAAAGGGAACTGCCAGCAGTTCTCAATCACTGCCATGCTTTTTTCTTTCTTTCTTTTTTTTTTTTTTTTTTTTTTAATTTAAGATGGGTCTCACTGTATTGTCTACCTGGCCTTGAACTTGAGATCCTCCTGCTTGGGCCTCCTGAATAGCTGGATGACAGGCATACACCATGACATACGGCTGTTACTACACTTTTATCTCCATACCTCATATCTATCTTCAGCTACTATCTGGAGGCTTTGGAACCCATGGAAAGCTCCATTAATGAATTCCCCTGAAGGTTCATTGAGAACAAAGTACCTGAATTGGCCAGAGAATGATGTTCATGTCCCCGTGGACACCATGAAGGGAGTACATGGAGCCACTACCACCAGTGGTGATGGAAAGGATGGCCTTCTTATTCTGTGAAAAAAAGAAAACAAGCTCGTCACCCCTCCTCTGTTTGGTCACAGTAAATGAATGAGACAGCCCTAGGGAAGGGGCCACACGGGCCCACCCTGTTCATGGTGTGTACTCTTTCATACTTTGGCTCCTCTGACCCTCCCAGCATGACTCTGTAGAAGATCCAGCCTAGATGGTCTACAGACAGATAACCAGGGCAAGCCAAGGGTTTCCCCCACCTGCATGTGACCATAGGTTAAAGCTGTCAATAGTCACCAAAATCTGTGTTGGCTGCCTCAGTGGAGTTATTTGTTGTTTTTAATCTGTCTCCCTACAGTGCTGGGCATGGATTAGGATAAGATCTTTCACATAAAAATATCAAAATATTTCTTGTGCAGTATTTGGGTCTCCAAAAGAAGACAAACATTATTTATTCATTTTTGCAGTACTGGGGATTGCACCCACAGCCTCACACATGCTAGGCAAGTAGCTCTACCACTGAGTCACTTCCCTAGACACCCCCCTAATTTTGGTTTTATTTAATCCCCTAAACTCTTTTTTTCTGGAATATTTTAAAACAAATTCCAAACATCATATCATTTCATCATAAAAGCCTAGTCATGCATTTCTCCCAAAGGACCTAGAGCCTGACCTTAGTGTCTGGTTGTACTAAGTTTTGCCTCAGGATAGAATCCACCCAGAATCCAGCTATTAGAAAACTCAGAACCGTTCACCTACCCGGAAAGGCCCCTTGTCATACATGGCAGCATATGTGTAGGCAAACTCTCCTACCAACACTCGCTCAAACCAGCCTTTCAGTATGGCAGGGACTCCAAACCACTGCAGTGGAAACTGGGAACAGAAGACATTAAAGAGGTCAAACCAGGTTCCACACAGAAGAAGTCTCAGAGCGCTGGCTTTTATCATTTCCTCTGGAGGAGTTAGCACATTTAAGAAAAGAGAAAATTGGCAGGGTTCAGTGGTGTGTGCTTTTAGGTCAGGAGGCTAATGTGGGAGGACTGCTTGAGCTAGGGAGTTAGAGGCCAGCCTGGACAACACAGTGAGACCCCTGTCATAAAACAAATAAATACTTAAAAATAAATACATATGGTAGCAGGAAACTCATAGAATAACAAGAAAATTATTGTCCTTGCTCAGCCAACTTGGCATTATGGTTTCTGCTTAAAAAATGTAAATATTGGCTGGATCTGAATAAAGCCATATGCAAATAAGATTCATTTTTGTGAAATCACACTTGGCAGCAAACTCTAAATAGCAAGGATTTCAGAGAAGATTTGTTTCAATGTGTGATGCCTAAATCAGTATTTCCCCAAGAATTTACACTAATAGGTGTAGTACCAAAAATATGACTATTCCTTGTGCACATCTACATAAAATCCTATCATTTAGAATAAATAAAACCACTAAAATGCAAACAAATGGTCAGTATAAGATTTATCAGGAAATTCCCATGAGAAAATCTTGTCTTTTTTTTTTTTTTAAATCAGGGATTGAACCACTGAGCCACATCCCTGGCCCTTTTTGTTTTATTACAGGCATGCACTACCATGCCCAACTAAGTTACCATATATTTAAATCATGAATCAGAAGAAATACTTAGGGCTGGGGTTGTGGCTCATGTGCAAGGCCCTGGGTTTGATCCTCACCACCACATAAATAAAGTAAGGGTATTGTGTCGGAACTACAACTAAAAAATAATTTTTTTTAAAGGAGAAATACTTATATATTCCTTACTCTGCTTTTGTCAGGGCAAGAGGTCAGATAAGCCAGGCAGTGTGGTGGTGCACATCTGAAATCCCAGTAACTCAGGCTGAGGCAGGAGAATTACAAGTTCAAAGCCAGTCTCAGCAACTTAGTTATACCCTCTCTCAAAATAAAAAAAGAAAAAGGGCTGAGGGTGTATCCTAGTGGCAAAGTGCCCCTGGGTTTAATCCCCAGTACCTTAAAATGAAAAAGACTGCTAGCCGGGCACAGTGGCACACACCTGTAATCCCAGCAGCTTGGGAGGCTGAGACAGGAGGATTGTGAGTTCAAAGCCAGCCTCAGCAAAAAGTGAGGCTTGCTGTCTCTAAATAAAATACAAAATAGGGCTGGGGTGTGGCTTAGTGGTTGAGTGCCCCTGAGTTCAATCCTCAGTGCCCCCCCCAAAAAAAAGACTGCCATAGTATACTGATTTTGCCAGAATAAGACTTTACCTGATATCTTTCATAAAACTGTTATAATAAATACACAAATCTGCAGTATTTACATTACCCTCAGTGCTGTTTGGTAGTTTGGACTCTAAGGTTTGGTTGTTTCACAGTGACTGAATCACTGTGAAAACTAAGCCAGTACCACCTTCCTTGTGAGGTTTCCAGAGCCAGGTACTCTCCATACTCAGTATCAAAGGGCAGGTAGGAATTGGTAACAGCAAAGTCATTGAAACGGAGTCTGGCTTACAGGGAAGATACTGACAGGATGGACACACCCACCATCCAGTGTTGTCTGCTAAACAATGAGATGGCTTTGGGGAGAAGAAAAGCCACAGTGTGCTGCAGGATCGCATCCAGCAGGGCCAGAGCTGGGACACTGCACCAGCAGAGAAGTCACCGGGCAACCTGTTTGGGATTCTCATGAAGAGATGGGAGAATTGCAAATTTTGGGAGAGTCCATCAGGAACCACTAAATGAAGGGAAGATTAGGTATATTGGAGAAAACAAATGGAAGGCTTATCTGTTGTTCTCACATTCCCAAGTGCAAAGAGCAATACAGCCAGGTTCACAGTATCTGTGGATCTGTGTTATATAGCACCTATAAAGCAATCACCTTTATTCACAGAGAATGCAGCAAAGTGGGGTAAGTGACTGTTCGATTTTCCACAGCTAATTAAGTGACAGGTCTAGGAAAAGACAAAAGTGTCACTACCCATGGTAGGCAAGTGTTCTAGCTCCAGCCCTTTTTATTTTGTTTCGATGGGGGTCTCACTGAGTTCCCCACACTGGACTCAAACTTGGATTCTCCTACCTCAGCCTCCTGAGTAGCTGGGATTACAGATGTGCACTGCTGTGCCCAACTATGCTTCTGATGTCCTGTCCCTACTATACCTGAAATATCACAAGGTCAGCAGCTTCCAGTTTCTTTTGTTCAGCCACAATATCTGGGCTCAGGCAGCCTTCTTTATACGCTAGACAAGATTCGACAGTATACTGGAATTTCTCGGGGTCCTTAAGTTTACCTGCCAAGAGGAACAAGAGAGGCTGAGGCCAGAGGGGCCAAGGCTGGTCCAGGGAGTCCACAGGCAAATGGTTTCATAAAGAACTAATTAAAGGGGGAGGGGTAGCTCCTACCTGTGATGTCCTTTCGGGAAATGATGGGATTGAAGTTCATGGCATAGAGGTCGGACTCGGCCACCTCCCATCCATCCCTTTTTAGAACCTCTGCAGCAGCCTCTTTCATGGCGTAGTTGAAGGATGTCCTCTCAGAGTGGGCCAGTACAATCAGGGCTCTTCTGACTACTTAAGACACACACACAAGACATTACTGGGTAAGTATCCCTTATCTGAAATGCTTGTTTCGGATTTCAGAGTTTTTCAGGTTTTGGAATATTTGCTTAGACTTTATTAGTTGGACACCCTTCCCCCAAATTAGAAATCCAGAAGGCTCCAAAACCCAAGGCTTTTTGAACATCATGTTGGCCCTCAAAAACAAAGTTTCAGATTTTGGAGCATTTCTGTTTTCAGATTTTAATTAGATATGCTCCACCTGTACCAACCAGCAAAGCCTGAACTGTAGGGGAGCAGAGGACCATAAAGGAAGAGGTCATTAGGTTATTACTCTCCATCTCAGTCTGAGATGGAGAGTAATTTATGAAAGAGGTTTATTCAGCTCACAGTTCTAGAGGCTGGGAGGCTGAGGGGCTGCATCTAGTGCAGGCCTTCTTGCTGGCAGGAACTCTCTACAGAGTCCTAAAATGGTGCAGGGCAATGCATGACAAGACAGAGCCAAACTGGCTTTTATAGTGGACATATAGTAATCCATTAATCCACTGATTCATTAGTCCATGAGTGGCTTAATCTACTGGTGAGGACAGATGCCTCATGACCCAACCACCTGGCCAAAGTTCCACCTGGTCCCACCACTTAACACCTTATGATGAGGATTAAATTTCAATATGAGTCTTGGTGAGAACATTCAAATCACAGTACCATCCCCTGCGGCCAGAAATAAAAGTAGCAGCAAATGGGGCGAGGGGTGTAGCTCAGGATAGTGTGTGTGTATCCCATGTCTGGGACCCGAGTTCAATTCCCAGAAGAAAAAAATAAAACATCAACAATAACAACAACAGGGCTGGGGTTGTGGTGCAGCAGAAGAGCACTTGCCTAGCAAGTTCAAGGCCCTGGATTCGATCCTCAGCACCACATAAAAATACATAAAATAAAGGTATTGTGTCCAACTACAACTAAAAAATAAATAAACAAAAAATTACTAAAGGAGGCATTTTGATTCAGTGAGAAATCAGCAGCTGATTTAATAAATAAATAAATGATATTGGTGTATTTAGTTAGCCACTTGCATGAAAATAAAATGGTTCCCCCTAAAACTAATGTAGATGTTAGAAGTCCGTAGAGTGGTTACCCTTGTCAGCAGGCAGTGATAGAAGGGCACAGTGGGAATTCCAGGGTGCTGGTGACATTCTTTTTTTTTTTTTTTTGGTATTGGGGTTGAACTCAGGGGCACTCCACCACTGAGCCACATCCCCAGACCTATTCTGTATTTTATTTAGAGACAGGGTCTCACTGAGTTGCTTAGCCCCTTGCTTTTGCTGAGACTGACTTCGAATTCGCCATCCTCCTGTCAGCCTCCCGAGCCACTGGGATTACAGGCATGTGCCACCTCACCTGGCTTCTATTTCTTGATCTAGGTGCTGAATAAGTGAAAAATTCACTTAGTATTTGTCTACTTTTTTTGTGTGTGGGGGGGAGCAGAACTAGGGCCTTTTTTTGCTAAATAAGCTCTCTACCACTGAACCACATCCCCTTCCCCAATAAAATAGTTTTGTTTTCAGTTACCCCATAAACTTACGGCATTCGGCAATAATTTCAGGTGGATTGAAGAGCAAAATGTTTTTTTTTTAATTTGTTTGTTTGTTTTTGGTACCAGGGATTGAATACAGGATTGCTTAACTAATAAATAAATAAACAAACAAACAATAACAACAAAAAACAATGACTAAAGGAGGCATTTTGATTCAGTGAGAAATCAGCAGCTGATTTAATAATAAATCTGAGCCACACACCCAGTGGCCTCCCCGCCTTGCACCACTCCCCCCTCCCCAGCTTTTTAAAAAAATTTTTGGAGACAGGGTCTCTCTAAGTTGCTTGGGGATTCACTAAGTTGTTGAGGCTGGCTTTGGAGTTGCAATCCTCCTGCCTCACTCAGCTTCCTGTGTTGCTGGGATCACAGGCATATGCCATTGTGCCCAGCTTGGAGCTCTAAATGTTTTTAAATAAAACTGTTAAAATAGTGGAGAAGGAAAGGGAGAATTTGTATAACTTCAGAGCACAGAATATTTTTAAAGAAAGACTAGAAATTCAGAAGCCATGAAGGAAAAGTTTGACAGGGAAAGCCTCATAAAAATAAAAAATTGGGTTAGCAGAAGGTACCAGAAACAAAGTCAATAGGAGAAAACAGCAATTCTTATCTCAAGGAGTTAAACTCCCAAAGACTAAACAAAAAAAAGAGAGATGATGCTAGAGAAAAGTGGGTCAAGGATATGAACGGCCATTCACAGAGGAAATGCAAATAGCAATAAACAAATGAAAAGCTGCTCTGTCTGGCCTGCCAAGAAAAGCCAATCAAAATGAGATATATTTACCCAAGAGACTGGCAAAAAAAAAAAAAAAAGAAGAAGAAGAAGAAGAAAAAGAAGAAGAAGAAATTAAGACAAATAAGATTGAGGGCTATTAAGATTGTAGGAAAACTAGCACATTCCTGGTGAGAAAATGAGTTACCTCAACCTTTTGGAAAAATAATCAGGCTGAATCTAGCTCACCAAGGATGTATGTATACTACACCATTGTTTTCATTGGCAAAAACTGGATATAACCTGGATGTCTATAAGGGGGACATTTGAATAAACTGTGGCTATATCTATATTACAGAATATTTTGCTGGTAATGAGAAATCCAGGGCACGGTGGCACACACCTGTAATCCCAGTGGCTGGGGAGGCTGAGGCAGGAGGACTGCAAGTTCAAAGCCAGCCTCAGCAACTTAGCAAGGCCCTAAGCAACTCAGCAAGACCCTGTTTCTAAATAAAAAATTTAAAAGGCTGGAGATGTGCTTCAGTGGTTGAGCCCCACTGTGTTCCATCCCCAGTACCAAAAAAAAAAAAGAGAGAGAGAGAGGCATTGGGGGTGCAACTCAGTGGTAGAGTGCTTGCCTAGTATGCGCAAGACCCTGGGTTCAATCCCCATGTACCACTAAAAAGGAAGAAAAAAAGGAACGCAGAAAGATATCCAGAATACAGCATTAACATAAAAAATCAAGTTAATGTGAATCTTTTATTTAAAAGAAAAAGAGAAGGGAGGAAAACCACTCATGTATGTGGATTTGTAGTATGTTGGTAAGAGGGGAAGTTGTCAGTTATCACAACTTGCCACGGTTAGAATGGTCTCCTCCAAAATTCAGGTGTTGCCAATGTTGGAATTTTAAGAGGTGGGGCCTCTAAGAGGTGTTGAGCCAAGAGGGCTCCTTCCTGTCCATGGGACTAGCCTTGGTAAAGGAGATTTCAGGCAGCTGCTTGGTCAGCTCGCTCTTCTACTGCTTTCCACCATGTGAGGACACAACATTGCTCTCTTCTGGAAGGATGTGACAACTAAACCTGACTACACCTTGACCTTGGACTTCCCAGCCTCCAGAACTGTGAGAAATAAATTTCTGATTTTTTTTTTTTATAAGTTAGCCAGTCTCAGGTATTCTGTTCTGGCTGCAGAAAATGGACCAAGGACACAACCATATGAGGTAGACAGAATTAGTATCCCCATGTTATGGATGAGAAAATAATCAAGTTACTCAAGTTTACGGCTGGGTACGAAGCTTTGAGGTAGAGTGCTTGCCTATTATGCATGAGGCCCTGTGTTCCATCCCCAGAAGATAAAAGAAAAAAAATAAGTTTATAAAGTAAATGGGGTAAACTTGGATTAGCTTAAAAGATAAAAATATATTGGGCTGGGGTTGTGGCTCTGTGGTAGAGCGCTTGCAATGCACGTGTGAGGCACTGGGTTTGATCCTCAGTACCACATAAAATTAAATAAATTAATTAATTAAATAAAGGTATTGTGTCCATCTACAATTAAAAATATTTTTTAAAAATAAATAAAAATATAGCTGGGCGTGGTGGTGCATGCCTGTTATCCCAGCAGCTCGGAGGGCTGAGGCAGGAGGATTGCAAGTTCAAAGCCAGCCTCAACAATGACAAGGCGCTAAGCAATTCAGTGAGACTGTGTCTCTAATAAAATATAAGAAAGGACTGGGGATGTGGCTGAGAGGTTGAGTGCCCCTGAGTTCAATCCCTGGTATCAAAAAATAATAAATAAATAAAAATAGAAATCTGAACACAAGTAGTACCAATGTGTGGGGCATCAGGAGAATACCAAAGAAAGGAATGTTATTACCACAACTGCTCTGAATAACCTGGGCCACTACTTCATGCCCTACTGATTCATACAAGTGGTAACTTTAGATGGAACTAGGCGAGAAAGCATCTGCAACTCGTTATACTGCTTGAAAAACTAGAAATAACTAAATAACTAGAAAGGAATTTTTAAGCTTTCAGTTTTATTCCTGCTTTAATTGTTAACCACACCTGGCATGGGAGGCACCTCCCAGGTTAAGTTCAGTAAAGACTTCGGGGCCCAGGTGCCAAACATGAAGATTTCCAAGGTTGGTCCTGAGATTTCAGACTGTTTAGGATTCAGTGGAATATGCATTTAGCAATTTTTTTAATGCTATAGAAGTGATTTATCTGCTTTGGACAGCCTGGGAAAAGGAACCTCTGAGAATGTCTCAACAAATTCCGACCCCCTGTCTTTATGGATTTAACATTACTGGGAGAAATGGGATCACATTAAGCTAAAACCTGCATTTTCTTTTTGATTTACCTTTGCATTCATCTTATCAATGCTTACTAAACATTGCTTTGTCAGCTTTTATTCTGTTGACTTCTTACTGACATTAAGCATTTCCTGAGTAGGAAAACAAAGTTGCTTCACAAAAAATAATCAAGTCAAGATATCCATCTCTTACTCTTCCTAGGAGCTCGCCACCTAAGAGCTACAGGCATGCCTGCAACCTTAAAAAATTTTAAAGAGTAAGGCAAGTACCAGGTACAGTGACACATGCCTGTAGTCCTAGCACTCAGGAAGCTGCAGGAGCATCTCTTGAACCCAGGCGTTCAAGGCCAGCCTGGGCAACATAGCAAAACACCATCTCAAAACCAACCAACTGACAAAGTAAGTCAAGAAACAAATTGGAATAAATAAATCCTACAAAAGTACAGTCCTTGGAATACATAGATTCCCCAAAGAAATTCCATAGAAAAGGGGTCAATGGTTCTGAATAGGTAACTAAGGGACCATTAATTTGCAATTAACACAATCATCAGAGGTAAAGAGTAAATCAGGATATAACTAATTAGAACAAATAAAAATAAAGAGTAAAACAGGAGATTTACTATGTGCTTTCCCACTGAGTCCCCACATTCCCAGCACCTAGCACATCCTTATTATTAAGCTCTGTCCTTACACTACAAAATCTTGGTCTCTATGAAATATATACTGGTTCATCCTGACTTCTCCATGGGCCATGAAAACCCTTGTTCCTTCTCCTCTACCTGTCTTTTATTTCCACCCTAAGCCAATACCAGTCAACTTTTCTTTCTGCCCCTGAAATGATAATGTTCTCACAAAACAATCTCTCTGCCTCTCCTTACTTAATTATTGTGCACCTGCTAAGCACTAGGCATGTTACAGACAGCTGGGTATTCCAAATAGATGGAAATCCTTCTCTTCATAGAGCTTAAATTCTGGTGGCAAAAGTTATCTGGACTGTCCCCGTGGGAGCTGAACTCTGTTATCATCTATTTCTCTAACATTCCTGCTGGTACACTTTCTTGACCCTCAAGCCAATCTGAAATCTAGAGCTTTTTCTAATCTTCTAAGTCCAATTATATTCTCAAACTGCATGGTTTCCTTAATGATCAACACAACAGAACTTGTTTGTTTTTGTTTTTGGGTACCAGGGATTTAACTCAGGGGCACTCAAACACTGAGCCACATCCCCTGCCCTATTTTGTATTTTATTTAGAGTCAGGGTCTCACTGAGTTGCTTAGCACCTCGCTTTTGCTGAGGCTGGCTTTGAACTCGTGATCCTCCTGCCTCAGCCTCCAGAGCTGCTGGGATCATAGGCGTGTGCTATTGTGCCTGGACAACACAACAGAACTTAATAGCAAGAAAAGTGGCAGAGAAGGAACAAGATTGTAGTTAATTATTTGAATGGAGAGGATTGTTGCCAGTGACAGATTCATTACCCACATTTTTTTTTTTTGCAGGAAGAATAAGCAATTTTTAAAAACCTACTAGAAATGTAATAAGGCCAAGTCCTCAAATCAGCTTTGGGCATTTTGCACCTGCTCTCCCTCATTTGACTCCTGGAGAGAATGTGGGTGTGAATCTGATAACTCGTTTCAAACAAATGCTCTGTATACTTGGTCAACTTCAAGATTTAGTTCGCTGGGTAGAGCTAAAACCAGTTATACAAGATCCAAATCTTCCCATTTCCCTTCCCCCTCTTTTTGTGGTTGTTACACATATAGAACATACTATAGGACTGAAAAATCAGAAAATAGTTCTTGCTCTATTTGGAGGAGGGGGTGTCTGGGTCTTAGGGCAGCTGAAGAATGAAGTACAGTACAGCCTCCTAATCCATGGTTTTACTTTCTGTGCTTGCAGTTACTCTTGGTCAACTGAGGTCCAAAAGTGTTAAATGGAAAATTCCAGAAATAAATAGCATAGGTTTTAAGTAACTTTTATTAGAGCATATTGTTCTATTTTTTTAATAGTTATTGCTCTGAGCCAGGCATGGTGGCAAACGCCTATGATCCCAACTGCTCCAGAGGCTGAGGCAGAGATTGCGTGCAAATTCAAAGCCAGCCTCAGCAAAAGCAAGGCACTAAGGAACTTAGTGAGACCCTGTCTCTAAATAAAATTCAAAATAGGACTGGGGATGTGGCTCAGTGGTTGAGTGCCGATGAGTTCAATCCTTGGTACAAAAAAAATAGTTATTGCTGTGTTCTTTTATGGTACCTACTTTATAAAATAAACCTTTTCATAGGTATAGAGGTATAGGAAAAATAAAAAACAGTATACACAGGGTTCTGTGCTGTCTGTGGTTTCAAGCATCTCTGGGAGTCTTGAATGTTCCCACAAATTGGAGGAGGGCTACTATAGAGAGAAACATTGACTAACACTTATGCTGGAAGTCTTATCAGCCTTTAAAAGCCCTGCCCTGCTGACCCTCCCAGCAATGCAAGGTGTGGCTTCCAACCAGTAACTCAGCCCTTTTTGTAGAAATTCTCACAACTGTAGATTGTCAACTGCACTGACAATCTCCTCCCCACTAACTTTTAGCAAGGTGAGATTCAGTGAATTCATGTGTCTTTAGAGGCAGCATTGGATTCAGAGAAAGAAATTATAAAAAGGTGGAGTACTGCTCCACTTGAGGAAATGCTTTCTAAATAAATCCTAGTGCTGTCCATTCTCTGAACGAGGTCCTCTAGCAGTCATTGGAGGTGTCACAGCTGGTCAAGGATGCATTAGAGGCCAGTCAGCCTACCAGACAGAATTGTGGTGACCTCCAAGGACCCCCAGTGACTGCAAGATAGGGAAACTAACACTAAGATGGACCCAATACCAAATCAGTTTTGCCCAGTCCAAGAGTCATATTGGAAAGTGTCTCTGGGGCCTTGAGCCAGGAGTTGGGTCTGGTTTCTGTCAAACCAAAGGCAGCCAGGCAGCTGCTTTCCTAGCTCCAGTCCCCCAGTTGCTAGATTTCCCTCCAGAAACTAGGCATCCAAACTTTTTAAAATAAAATAGCTCCCCACCCCCCCCACCCCCCCCCACCCCCCCCACCCCGCCACCACGGGCTTGCTAAATTACCCAGGCTGGCTTCAAACTTGTGATCCTGATGCTTTAGGCTCCATAGTACCTGGGATTACAGGGGCACACCATCATGCCTGGCACCTATTTGTATTGTAAATGTCAACAACTTATTCCACCAGGTCATTGGGCCAGATTTGGCCTCTGATGGGCAGTTTCCGACTTATGCATTGACTGGAATTTTTGCTACTAGTCTCAGAAGTGAAAGTGGGCTGAAGGATGATCCAAGAGTCTGGGGTAGTAACAGAAGCTCCCCTTTTACCAAACTAGTCAAGGTGCGTCCCGGGACTCTAATCTCTTCTAATCTCTTCTCTTGGTTTGAGTCAAGGAACAAAACTCAAAGCCAAACCCCTGCATCCTCCTTCAGAGGAACTGTGATAATAGACAGATGTTCTCCTAGTGGGCTGCACTCACCCTCCATAGCTCCCACAGTGCTAGCAGTCCCGAGTGCTGATTGGCTGGGATGCTGGTTGCTAGGGCGACCTCTGGGGCGGGGCAAAGAAGTCCAAAGGCTGTGTGAGCTCCGACTTGGGAGATATTCCAAGTGCTGGGCACCAAGAGCACTCGCTGGTTTATATCCCGTCTGGCCCAGCCCAGGATGACCAGTGAGGGCGGGGCCAGACAACTGCAACCCGAGGCCCTGGGCCAGGACTCCAGGTCTGAGATACAGCAAGTTACGGGAATCTGGAGTCCAATAGCGTCCCCTGGATGTGGAAGTCAAGAAGGTTCCCCTTGGGGCCAAGGGAGTCTGAAGGATCTGGGTGGGTGTGGGAGGCAGGTTCATCCACACCACATTCTAGGACCCCTGAGGATGCAAAAAGGAAAATTTCCCATGGAGGTCCTGCCTCTGTTAGATGTTTGGGTCTGGCCACTCCCAGTCACAGAAAAAGACCCTTGGCACCCAAAGGGGTAAACAAAAAATTACACGAGGCTGACTGTGATCCTTTTGTCTCAGATTCTGCTGAGTCACCATGACTCCAGACTTGAGAGGGCTGAGAGCAGCAGGGACACTTGCTCCCATGGAAATGAGTGAGCTTCTTTGACCAGGTTCAGCTTTTGCACCGATGGGGCAAAGGGGCATAGAGGGGCATAGAATGCACTTCCCTGCGCCTCACGGCTCGGGGAATGAACCAGTTTTGCCTCCCTAGAGCTAGGTTGGGCTAGGCGGGTGAGGGAGATTGCAGCTATGGGAAAGGATCACGGAGGCAGATGAAAGTTTAATGGCTTCACACATAGCTTTACTGAGGATTTGAAACCGAAGAGCAAAAGTTAAAAATCTTTGTAAGTAAAATTTACAGTAAAGTCATCCTATAGGATAGAGAGGAGACATACAGGATACTACCCTGAATGTACATCCTACATGATACAGGGTCTAGAAAAAAGAAATTAAACTTGAAAGTGATAATTCTGAAGAATTATGGAGGGAAGGTAGTGGAGAGTACACAGGGCCCTCACCAGTGGTGTCAGTTTTGAGGTGGTCCTGGAAAGCTTTGTCTTCAAGATAAATACTACTTGAATACACTGTTTCTGAAAATCAAAATAAATACCAAAATACAAATCGTGAAGAACAAAATATTAAAATGGTAAAGACAGGATTAGTGACAGTGTTGTAGGGACAAATGAGGCAAGGCACTGAAGACAGCAGGAAACCGTTTTATTTGGCTGCAGTCAGGTTCAGAGGGCCTAGCTTTTGCTGTAATCAGTTAGTCCCCTGAACCCCGAGTTCAGGGAGTTTCAGAATTTTATACCCAGCATGTAAGGGGAGGGGCTCAGAGGTTCACAATCTGCAGAAGTTCACATAAAAGCAGCTTTTTCTTTCACTGTTCTGGGCAAGTTAACTCTTCAAGGACAACACCTGAGAAGGGGAGAGCTTCTTCTCCACCACCACCCCCCCCCCCCCCCCCCCCCCCCGCCAGCTGTTACCATGGAGCCCATTTGTAACTTATCTTAAAAATGTAGACATCTCTGTGAAGCCCAGCTCAAGGCCAGAGGCCTTATTTGCACATATCTTCAAAGTACTATACTGGATATGTTTGTGAAAAACTAGTAAGGGGTGTCTAGCACCTGGAGTGCTGGTATCTTCTAGGCCAGTGGCAAAGTAAACAGGGCGACATGAAAATAGGAAGTTTATCTACATTGGACTCTTTTGCTGACAGTTCTAAAATCGGCCATGGTGAAGAGGGCTTTTCTGTGGAGAAAGGGGGTGCCACTTCAACAGTACCAAGCCATACTGAGCTTGATGATAACTCAGCTGGCTTTATTTAACATGTTGTAATTTTGTTTACCTTAAACTTTTTTCTTCTTTGGTCTTTTTTTTTTTTTTTAGTACTTCAGTAAAATTATCTCGATCATTGAGTTTTCTGGTGTCTCCTTAAATTTTGTGCCTCATGGGTGGAGCTATAGCTCAGTTGGTAGAGTGCTTGCTTGCCTTGAATGAACACCTGGGTTCAATCCCCAGGACCACAAAAAAAAAAAAAAAAAAAAAATTATGCCCAAGGCAGCATTATCTTACTCCTTACTCTAGTTGGAGCCTTAACTGTAAGTTAAGTATTTCTCCATAATACAAAGTAAATTGATACTATCTAAAGTTAATAAATGGGGGCTGGGGATGTGGCTCAAGTGGTAGTGTGCTCGCCTGGCATGCGCACGGCGCTGGGTTCAATCCTCAGCACCACATACAAACAAAGATGTTGTGTCCGCCGAAAACTAAACAATAAATATTAAAAAACCAAAATAAAATAAAAATAAAAATAAAGTTAATAAATGAAGAATTAGAGGCAAAATCACATCATTAGAATGTAGCAATCTCCAGAATCATTAAACACCACATTTTCAAGTGTAAGAGTGAAAAATGATAGAGATGCCTATGTATGCATTTAAGAGTTAAAACTATAGTTGGGCTGTGGCACTCACCTATAATCCCAGTAACTCGGGAGGCTGAGGCAGGAGGATTGCAAGTTTGGGGTCAGGGCAACTTAGTGAGGCCCTAAGCAAGACCCGGTCTCAAAAAATAAAAAGGGCCTGGTGTGGTGGTGCACACCCGTAATCCCAGCAGCTCAGGAGGATCACAAAGTTCAAAGCCAGCCTCAGCAAAAGTGAGGCGCTATGCAACTTAGTGAGACCCTATTTCTAAATAAAATACAAAATAGGTCTGGGGATGTGGCTCAGTGATAGAGTGCCTCTGAGTTCAATCCCCGGTAGCTGCACACCCCCCCAATAAATAAAATAAAAAGGGCTAGGGATATGGTTAAGTGACCCTAGGTTTAATCACTAGTACCAAAAAATACAAATATAAAATACAAAAGGCCTGGGAGTGTAGCTCAGTGATAAATCCATTCTGGGTTTAATCACTAGTTACTCCCACCACCCCCCAAAAAAAGTGAAAATCATTCTCTAAGGGGCATGGAAGTTCAGTACAGAGGAAGAACTGGTCAGCAGGAGTTTCCTAAGGGACTTGAGATTTCAGCTAGACCACTTTAAAGGTATCTACTTCAAAATAGTATAAAAGGACATGTTAAAAAGATCTGGGCAGTCATATTTGACCTTTGACTCTTAAGTACTTTCTTTTTCCTCTTCTTGGGAAGGTGTCTTGAAGCACCGAAAATGATTTAGTGTTTGACATCTGTCACAGGCTTTCCTACCATACAGCCTCCAACAAAACTCGGGTGTCCAGAAACCCTGGTGATAGAATTGTTTACCTTTTGTTTACCTTTATATCAATAAGGTGGGGAAAGCACCCAACCTTCGAGTGGTATGTGCTGGGCAGACTTCGAGGGAATCCTTGTGATACCTAACGTTCTTATAAGATTGTCTAAAATGAGAAAACACATCAGCGGGACTGTGGTGTTCCCATGTGTGCTAAGTATGCCCGTGACTGTCATCAAGCATGCCTTCCTCACCAAGGAGCCGAAAATCACTGTGAAGGTATTGAAAGCACAGGAGTTAGAAAGCTAAACTAAAAAAAGAAGCTTCTTTGAGTAATGAAAGGTCAAAAGGCAAAAAATAAAAATAAATGAAAAGGTCTTGTTAGCGTTGTCCAATTGAAATGGTCATACTGTGCTGCCCAAATAATGTGGCTTCAAGTTACAAGTGGCTATTGAGCTGGGGTGGGGGCTCATGGACTGAGGGGTTGGCAGTGTTGGCTATTTTGTCCCCCTTCTCTCTTCTCTACCACTCTGCCCTGCCTACTATGTGTGTGCCCCTGGAGGCTGACTGCAGATGGCATTGCTTGAGCTTCCTTGTTCTCTGGCTTCCAGATGCGTAGCCTATGGGCTGTATCTGCAAAAGGTCAGGGGGCAAGAGAAGATTCTGCCACCTCTGCGCCCTGCCATCCTCAGAAGAGTCGCTCATATGGACAGCCCTTCCTGTGACTCCGACTCCCTGGGCCTCCAGTCACTGTGGTCCTCCCCTTTGTTTCTTCAGGCCAGTGTGAGGTCCTGGCTTCCCACTGCTCCTGGTCCTTGGGTGCCTCGCTGTTGAGGCCCTATTCTAAAATCCCTAATAAAACTCTGGGTCTTTTTGAAGTAAAGGCAAAGGATTTATTCTGGCCAGGACTGAGGAAGCAGAAAGGAGACAGTTCTGCAGCCCAAGACACTGAACTTGAAAATAGAAAAACCACAAAGGACGGGGGTGAGAGAGGCAAGTGCCATCATAAATCACATTTCTCAGAATTCGAACCTCTTATACCTACTCAGGAAGTAAGCTAGTACCAGCTCCACAGTTTTTCTATGCAAGTGGCCTCTTACAGGAAGGGGGCCAACTTGGCACAGGGTGAGATGTCTGAACAGGATGAGGTCAGCCTCACTTACCTTTCAAATCAGCCCGGAACATCACCATCTCAATTTGGTTCCCTTGACTTTGTCCACACTCTTTTGAGTGTGCCACCTGCTTCCTGTCACACCATGACTGCTGTAAAGCCTTGAAAGACATTACCATTTCTTAGAAAGTGCTGACTGAGGTACACCTGGGACAGCATCCTGAGAAAGACCCTTTAGATTCAGACCAAGGAGGCAGAGCAACTTCGTGTTACAGAGAGTGTGGGTGAGCACGAGGAGACAGGTGGACAGCTCTTCCCAGAGGTATGTCTGTCAAGCAAAGATCAGAGAGACTGCAGTAGCTAGAAGGCCGTGGGTGTCAGAGGAGGGCGTAGGGCATGCTTGTCTGTGGTGAGTGGGTAGCGACGTGCTTCAGGGCTTTTGCAGTGCGTGGGGTGTTGCCGGTGAAGATGCTGAGTCCTGAGATGAACTCCAGAGCACAAATGCAGCAACTGGGTTATTCTGGAGGAGGAATCTTCTTTTTGAGAGGAGGGCTTGTCCCGAATGCTGGGACGTTGAAGATTTGATGGGAGAACAAGGAGTTCCTAGACTGATGACTGTTTGGCCTGTGCCAACAAAAGTCAGGTCACTGGCTGAGAGTGAATGAGAGGTGGTGGCGATGAGTTCTGCAGGCTGCGTAGGTTAAGAGCACAGTCTGTCCCAAAACTGCTCTCGCTTTGGGTACAGCCATGAATTGGCGGATCCCTAATGCTGGGGATCAAACCCAGACCCTATTGTGTGCTAGACAAGTGCTCTACCGCAGAGCTGTGCTCCCAGCCCTGAGAGGTACTTGTGCAAGAGTGGTATTTGATTGCATGTAAATTATTCCCCAATAAAGTCACTTCTTAAAAAGGAGAGTGGTTGCATTGGTGAATGATATTACAGGGCTGACTGACATCGGCCATATCAGAATGTGGAATATTCCTCAGGATAACAACCTGGTTTAACCAATAATTCAATGCTATGAGAAAAGTGAGGAGGGGTA